AAAATGATAATTTAAACATAAAAAAATTTGTACTGTTTTCTATATATCCTTTTTTCAGGAAGAAGAAAATTACGACAACAAGCTATCACAGGCTTTCTTATCTATATTAACAATAAAAGATGATAACTTCTTTTTCCAACTACCTGTTTTTTTTATGAAATAAGCTTTCCTTGTCTCTAGAACCCAGGCGTGACTATTTTAGACATCATGAAAGCTCATCCTAAAGAGATAGATATTGATCGATATCAGCGATATTCTGTGAGGGAATGTCAACATTCACTATTCACGTGCGTCATTGATGGCAAGGCGATGAATTCGTATCAGGAGATATAATGATTACTACAACAAGAATATGAGAAAAAGGCTAAATTCATCCATCAAAGAATTACGATGAAGGCAACAGAAAATCATCAGTCACGGAGCGTGTGGCTGTGGGTGCTAATATCCTTTTTACGCACACCCACACCCCACCTACACCCCACCCACAGCCGCACCCACAGCCACACCCACAGCCACAGCCACACCCACCCACACCCACACCCGCCACACCCACATCCACCCACACCCACACCTCTAAAACTTATGCAGATCATTAGTATTTACTTGTCCATCGTTTTTTTTTACATGACAGTCAAGAACATTTTTGCCAAATTATCACACTTAACGTAGGCAGAAATTCTACGATATAGAAAGGTTAAACTTCCTATGGGGTCAAATTCGAAACCTTTTTACTCTTGTGATTTTCGATATCCAAAAGCCTCTGATTTTGTTATGAAGCATGTATTAATTGTAATATGATGAATAACAATACGATTGTCTTCAATAGATACCAATTGAAATTCATGAAATCAATCAAATAAATTCAAAAATGTGTCATAGGAAATGAATGATTTACCCAAACTAATTGCTAAATTTAAATAAACATTCTTGCGAATTTCAATATTAAATTAAAGTCATATTGCCCTAGATATTTGAATATCAGATGAGTTCCACTCTTATAAAAGTACAGACCAATTTAGCTTAATACAACTATATGCTAAATTGAATAAGATCACTTCACTGTTTTCTTCTTTCAAATCTGGTCATTAGCTTGTAAATATGATATGAATTAAGAAAATTAACATGTAGTGATATACATTTTTGTTCCATATCATTGTTGTGAAATCAATATGGTATAATAGAAAATTACCAAGTTCGCTCACAAACTGAATCAAAGACATAGGACTTTGTCCGCTCTTTGAAAAGAGCGACTTATAATTTCATAAGACAACGCGAGTGAATTGTGCTATATTAAAACAATTATCTATAGTTGGTAAATTTGAAATTTTTAAACAATTTAAAGATTATTTTCTTCATATCAACTAAAATTTATACAACAAAGTAAACAAAGGGTTTACTTAATTGATTTGTAGCACTTAATAAATCAATCAAATAAATAAAACATTCCAGCTTCTTTACCTTAAAAATAGACATTATTTCAAAATTCTAGACAATTTTAGACTGAAATCAAGAAAAAACCTTATCGATCCGAATCTAGATTGCTTTTCTTTTGCTAAACAGGCCGATGTATATAAACTGGTCATCAAAGACTAAAGAACAGTGTTATATAAATTTTCTTGCTTATAAGTTTATTGTTATCTTTAAAATAAAGATCAACATTGAAAAAAAACAAATACTTGAATAAAAGAAAAAAAAATTGTTTTCCTATTGTGAAATGTTGTTAATTCATAAATACAATTCTTCTGGCGTGCCTTGATTTTTTTGGATAAAGTACTGTTTCTTTACTCTTTCGAAAATCTTCATTTTTTACTTTCATTCGACGTTCTCGTAATGCCATTAAACCAGATTCAGTACAAATTGCCTAAAATAACGAATTTAGTTTAAGAAATAAAATCAATAAATTAACAAACTTTACTATCAGCACCACTAAGATCATCTTTAGCCATAATTAATTCTTCTAAATTAACATCATCAGCAAGCGTCGTACGATCTGTATCAATTTTAAACATCATTCGACGAGTTTTTTCATCTGGCAATGGAAATTCAATTTTTCGATAAATACGACCAGGTCGAATTAATGCTGAATCAAGTATATCAATTCGATTTGTTGCCATAATAACCTAAGAAATTCATAAAATATTTCTCTTTTATGAGAAAAATAAATATTTACTTTAACATCACCACGAGAATCAAATCCATCAAGTTGATTTAATAATTCTAACATAGTTCTTTGAATTTCTAGCTCACCTCCTGAATTTGAATCATAACTAAATAAAAAAAAAAAAAAACAAAACTTAAATTTAATAATACCAAAAAGAATCGAAAATGTACCGTTTTGTTCCCATAGCATCAATTTCATCAATAAAAACAAAAACTGGAGCATATTCTTCAGCAACTCGAAATAATTCACGTACGAGTTTTGGTCCATCACCCTAAAATTTCCGATCAATAAATTTTAAATAATAAAATTGAAATTACCAAATATTTTTGAATTAATTCCGAGCCAACTACACGTAAAAATGTTGCCGATGTTTAAATGGCTACAGCTTTGGCAAGAAGAGTTTTACCTTTATATGAAACTTTATTTGATTAGAAAAAGTATTATTAATCATATACCTGTGCCTGGTTGACCATATAGAATAACACCTTTAGATGGTTTTATACTCATCTCTTCGTAATATTCAGGATGATTTAAAGGTAATTCAACAGCTCCTTAAAAATAAAAAATTACTTCAATTTCATATAAGAGTTATATTCTTACTTTAATCTCTTGAATTTGTGTTGCTAATCCACCAATATTTGCATATCTAAATTCATGGAAAAAAGTCAAAAAGCTTGTTAGCGCAGCTCCTGCGGAGCTGAAATGTGGAACTCACGTATACCTTTAGCTTTGTTACCAGACGCATCATCTGTATACTGGAAGACTTCTCATCAACTATAGTTGTTTTCCTTGAGAATCGTTGAAAAGAGCAGGAATTTATTATTTATTTGTATATTAAAAAAATATATTAAAAAAGAAAATATTTTTTTTTCATTTAAGCGCGCTCGATTTCATTTATAATTATTGCTATATACTCGATAATAATCTTTTTTTTTGTTTTCTAATTTCAAGTTATTTTTCTCCACCATCGACTATTTGGTGAATACGGTTGTCGCAGTCTGTAATGGGGCGGGGTATATGTATGTAATGTTCTTTTTTGGTTGCTATGATCTGTAAGCGGGGGGGGGGGGGGGGGGGGGGG